AACCCTAACCCTAACCCTAACCCTAACCCTAACCCTAACCCTAACCCTAACCCTAACCCTAACCCTAACCCTAACCCTACAAGATAAGGTGGTCTGTGGTATTCCTTGATAGTGATTCGATAGCTCTTTACCGCGTTCTATGAGTTTCGCAGACATGACGATGATCTTTTTGGGGATTTGGAGGTGAGAAGCTTGGGGGGGGTTGGTTTCGGAAAGATGGTTAAGTCGTGAGAAAATAGCTGCTTTTCAACACCAAAAAGAATCCTACGTTTGGTGGACCCAACCAAACGCCGAGACCCAGGCTAAGCGCGCCCGATGTATGTGCGGTTATGGTTAATACATGCAACTCTTTTTCGCAACGTGAAAGAGGTAATTAACCCTTGAAACGCGGTCTGGACCAAATTTCTTCTGAGGTGTACAGTACCTGAGATATATTCCTTTTATCTATGTGATCCTATTCCTAGCCCCATTCTAAATTTTTGGTATTGTACAGAAGTCTAATATATAGTCATGCCGAACTTCTCACTGCATCACAGGCGATCCTCTTCTTATCCAAACGGTCTCTCCAAAATCTCCCTCACCCGTTTTCTCCCAAGGCTCTCTGAGCCACTTCTGTCATCGGAACTGCACCTCTAACCAGTTCATCATCATCTCCCCACATCATATTCTTGCATCCATCTTCCAAAGCCTATGAGCCCCCATTCTTCAAAGCTAACTTCCCCTCCCTCTTCTCCACATATTCCACCAGATCCTCGATTGTGCAGACCTTTAACCCAAACTTTTTCCCGAAAGCCAGACACCCATCTCTTCTCATCATACTAGTCTCGGTCCTTTCCGCCCTCCCCGCAACTTCCCCTCCGGCTTCGACAAGTTCACTGATCACACCCACCTCTCTCATCCCAGCCAATCTACAAAACTCTGTCGCGGCCTCGGTGTGTCCTCTTCTCTGTCTTATGCCGCCTTCCTTTGCCATCAATGGAAATACATGACCGGGCCTTCTGAAATCGGATACTTGGACATCGGGTTTTGCGAGTGTCGTGCAGGTTAAACTGCGGTCATGCGCGGAAATGCCAGTGGTGGTCAGAGGAGAAGAAGCATCTATGGAGATGGTATAGGCTGTGAGATTCGGATCTTCATTCGTGGTGACCATTTGTGGTAGCTGAAGCTTTTTGCAGAGAGAGGGGAGGATTGGGGCGCAAATTAGACCCGATGTGTGGTGGATCATGAAAGCCATTCTCTGAGGCGTCAGAGATTCAGCGGCTATAATGAGATCGCCTTCGTTTTCGCGGGAGAGGGAGTCGAGGACTACGATGAACTCGCCATTTTCTGGGGGATTGTGTTAGTGGCATGCTTGTGAAAGTACGATTGAAAGTAGGTTGATAGAGGGGCGTTGAGGGAACGGACTGAAGGCTGTGATTGTGTCTTCTATCGTATCGAATTCGTGGGCTATGTCGGAGGATGGCATATCTGCGAAGGCGGTGGGAATGAATTGGGATGCGTATTGTGTCGTTTTGTTGATGGTGGTGGTGGTGATGGTGGGAGAGGATGGTACGCAGATGAAGTTGCCCCGCGACGGCGACGTCCGGATATGGTTCGGGAAGCGGGGTTTTGTTAGTTGAAATCGGCGGGGGTGAGTACAGGTAGTTTGTTACGATAGTAGGTGGAGCTCAGTTGAATTGGGGCTTTCGCAAATATAAAAAGGTTCATATATATAGAATATATAGGTAGGTAGAAAGAGAGACTGTGGTGTCTTATTATTACCGAGTACTTACAAATACATGCCACCTCAGCCTGGAAAAAGAGCGAGCATCGGACCGCATCGGACCGCATCGGACCGCATACGGAGGTAGTATGGTGTGAGCACCCGTGAGGTTGAGCGCAATCCGATGCAATGCGACGAGCCCGCTGGGCTGGCCAAGCGCAATAGTGGACAGTGCGCCTTGGCTGATCATCAGCTGCAGCACCCTGATGAATAATGGGATGACCTCAACTCAAGCTTTGCAACCAACACAACCTCAGCACTCAACACCCAACTCCTCCATAACCCGCTGTACCAGTACCCATTCTCATACCAAGTTCTGCCTGACATCTGACATCTGACATCCTCATGCCCAATTACTCATCATCGGAAAGGACGCAACTGGTTGCAAAGCTTGGGGGGTTAGAGAACATCCAATGTCATCCATCATCCCCATCCGCGGAACATCTCTCCGAAATTTCAATCTTCTCCTCCAGACAGCCCCGCGCTTGGTCAACTCTCAGTTCCGTCCCCATACCACCTCCTCCAATCCATCTTCCGTCAATCCCATTGAAGTCTCTCATTTCAACGCTCTCGCCTCAACATGGTGGGATCCTCATGGTTCCTCGAGACTACTTCACCTCATGAATCCCCTCCGTCATGATTTCATCAAACGTTGCCATGCCACCCAACCCACACCCGTAGCAAAAGAAGGTCTGCGATATCTAGACATTGGCTGCGGAGGAGGAATCTTCGCCGAGAGCGCCGCGAGATTGGGCAGTACAGGAACGGTCCTCGGAATAGATCCCACTCCAGAGGTTTTGGCGGTGGCGCGCAAACATGCCAGACAAGATCCTGGCTTACAAGGGAAGCTCGAGTACCGGAACATGTCTATAGAAGGCCTCCCCAAGCCTACCTCTCTCAACGAGCAATACGATGTCCTGACTCTCTTTGAAGTCATCGAACATATCACCCACCCCGCCGACTTCCTGGATGCGTGTAGAGACCATGTGAAGCCCGGTGGATGGGTTATTTTGAGTACAATAGCAAGGACTTGGACCAGCTGGTTTACGACCAAATTAATGGCGGAGGATGTGGCAGGAATTGTACCCAAAGGGACACATGACTGGGGTAAATACATCAATGAGGAAGAGTTGAGGGCATACTTTCTGGGCGAGCAAGGGATGAGAAGTCCGCCAGGGTGGAATGGTCCGCAAGTGATGGGCGTACTCTATGTTCCCGGAGTGGGTTGGAGATCGGTAACTGGAAGTGAGAAGGTGGGAAATTACTTTTTTGGCATCAGGAGAGACGAATAAACGGCCGGTGGGAGATATGTAGAACTTGGTGATCAGGATGAATGGATGTGTAATGTCAGTCATGTGTAAGTATAAATCAAGGTAAGCTGCTCAACAAGATTCGGTATTTGTCTTGCGAATGGTTTCCGCTGTCTATCATTTCTTTCACGTGAACCTGGAAAAGCTCATGAGTAACAGAATAATCATTTCATTTCCCTTGCTGCAAGACACGATCCTCTTTCAACATACTGTGGCGAAGATGCCAATCAGATAGAGTAACCAATCGGTACTTGAAACGACGAATGAGGGGCTACGGAACTGATCTATCTAGATGGGGCTCTTCCTCGACCGATACATTAGCTTTTGCTCCTTGTCCGGGCGGGTCATGAAGCCTTGTGGCTTGCCCATATTGAAGGCGTTCTGCCCATGGAGCAGCTGAAAGTCGTACTTCAACAGCAGGTGGGCGAAGATGAGCTTGAGATAGGCACCGGCGAGGAAGCGACCAGGACAGACGCGCAGACCATAATCCCACATGACAAGGTCCGAAGAGGTGGACACTAGATGATATTTGCCGCCGTCCTGGTTTTGGCTGGTTTGCTGCTCTCGCATGCGGAGGAAGCGATATCCGTCAAACACATCCGGGTTCTCGAACACGGCTGGGTCTTTCATGGGCACCGGTGCGACGAAGAGATAGGTATCACGAGGGATTTCGGTGCCGTCAGCTAGGCGTATGTCCTCGGTAGCTTGGCGGCGCATGGTGATGTTCGCGGGTGGATGGAGGCGCATACTCTCCTTCATGAAGCTGTCCATGAGTACCAAGCGGTGCAGAGTCGCCTTGTCGAACTCATATCCAGGACCTGCCTTTACATCACGTAGTACAGCCGTGAGCTCGTCGCGGAGCGGCTGCAAGTACTCAGGGTGCGAAATCAGATCGCCCAGGACATAGGCAAGGACATTGCTCGACGTCTGGTTCGCGGCGAGGGCGAGACTGATCTGAGTGCCCACATAGTCGAAAGGTTTATTGTCTGGGTTCGCCGCGACGAACCAATCAATCGAATCGAGTACGCGGCGGCGACGTTGGCCATCTTTTATAGCACCATCCCTTTCGTTTTTCCTGTACTCCACTCGCTTCACTACCTCTGGTTGGAGGATAGCCCGAGCCTGCTTGACCTCTGCCCGAATCTGGCGGCATATTGGCAGATACCAGACGACGATGGGGCGTAGCCACTTGTTCCACTGGTGTAGCGTTGCAGCCGCTCTGAAAACGTTCACGCTATATGAGGTGGCCACGCGCTTCCACTCCTCGTTATTCATAAAGTCTTCGCCGAGAAGGACAAGCTGCGTGATGCGTGAGATGACCGAGATGCATGCATTGTACACGCCGATTTCCTTCCACTCATCAGTCTGTCCATATGTTTTATCCAGAATACTGGAAATTTCCTTGGCCATAGGCGGGATAGCGAGTGGCCAAACCCCAGCCATCTCTCTCTTCAGACCTCTGGTCCAGATCACCTCGGTCTTGTGATTAGATGAGCGAAAGGCATCGAATCCCGGGTAGTTTGCAAAGAAGTCTTTGACGTTGTAATTTTGAGAGCTTAGCTGAGGAAGATCCTTAATCTCGTCTATGTATTTGGGAGGGAGGACGAGTTTGATGCCCGACCCATCTTCTATGCGAAAGGGACCTCCATTGGCCTACTCGAAGTCAGTCGCCATTCGGAGAGTGCTATTTTATAATGAGTGAGCAGGTATACTCACCAATGCCAGACCCTCCAGGATAACTTCTTGCGATGAATTCAGTAGACGTTCCCTATCGGAAGCGTTCCATTCTGGATTCACAATCGGGTATTTAGACAGTATCCAAGCAGCGCGGGCTCTTCCCAGATAATATTGTACAACTTTGCCAACTAGGAAGATAGCTACTCCTGCGACCAGAGCGAGGGTGGTTGGGTTTTGGTAGTCGATCATTGTTAAGGTATTTGCTGTACACATCGACGTCCTGAGCTACAGATGACCTCGAGTATATCGATCACTTTATATAGCTACTATTGTCAGCCTCCCCAACTCCGTAGCCCTTTATACAAGAGATTCCATTCCACGAGGGAACCACCAAGCGATTTGCCAATATCATAATTCATCTGACCCCAAAAGGCCAAGACTGGGCTTTTGCTGACCGCCAAATCAGCGAAATCATAGAAACCCCTCGATACTGGGGTCTGGGTTTTGCCAGTGTCTTTCAGGATAAACTTCTAATCAAGGTTATCATTTCGGGAAGGTTCTTGGCGTAGATGAGTGACGGCAGGTCAGAATTCGAGGAATGGTGTGAGAGGCCAGACCTCGAATAGCTCAAAGGCGTGGTTTCGAATATTCAATTAAGAAGTGCGTGAAGACTACATACATGCGAGCTCTTCCTCTCTATATATATATATAGAGAGGAAGAGCTTCCTGAATATTCCAAGAAACTTGCAAGAAACTTGAATGACGAATACATGATGTCAGAAGTTGTGAGAGGCCAGACCTCGAATAGCTCAAAGGCGTGGTTTCGAATATTCAATTAAGAAGTGCGTGAAGACTACATACATGCGAGCTCTTCCTCTCTATATATATATATAGAGAGGAAGAGCTTCCTGAATATTCCAAGAAACTTGCAAGAAACTTGAATGACGAATACATGATGTCAGAAGAACAAAACAAGAAAGTGTGGAAAAGTAGAAACCTGTTTGGCAGTGGGGTAATGGCCAGTGCTAAGCAGGGACTTTGGTCAGTGCTCAACGAGGACTTTGGTCAGTGCTTAGCGAGGGCATGGCCCGAGCCTCCATCATGGGTTCCAACCCTCACAATTGGGAATATATCATACGAAGTAGAGTTGCCTAGTAATGTGGATTAATATATGATATCAGTAAGCTCCGCGAACTCCCGTAATTCTTGTCGCTAAATCCCAGTTTAGTGACCTGAAATATGGGAGTTTATGTAGAGCTACTTCTTTCTAGGGGATTATGTAACTCCTAAAGATATAGGTAAGGGTATTTCAGATGCCCTAAAAGCTTCGGGACCTGAAAAAAGCCAGGGATATTCTGATGAACCAAGGACAACCTTATATCGTAAATCCTTGTGTCGAGGCTCTGCCGTAGATCCCACTTAAAAGAACCGGGGGGGCCGAGAAAGTTAAGAGTATAACCAAGATATTCAGAGTATAACCAAGATACTCAAACTAAGCTTAACCTTGTATTAAAGCTCATCTGTATACACGTTCAGTGAAGACGTAATCTTGGGCTCCATAGATAATTCTCAGGTCTTACGATACAAAAGTAAAAATCATGTGGCTACCCTTACATACCCTGATTTTCATGCACGCAACGAACGGTAAATGAATTAGGTTCATTACCGTCTTACGCGAAGTGGATTTCTGTTAAAGTACGAAGTGCTTCGTATTAGTATAGGCTCTACGAGATATCTCGTCTACCGAGAAGTACCGAATAGTACTTCGTAAATCGAACGAGAGAAGGATGCTGGGGTAGGCGAGTGGAGTACTAAAACTGCTCGTGAGGCCTCTTAGGATTTACTACGGTGCTTCTATAATACTATTTCTCGGCCGAAGTATCCCGCGTACACGCAAATCCACGTCAATGCCGCCTCTGTTGTCTTGCTCAAGTTGAATATCTTATTATCTTATTATGTTGCCGAGATCACTCTAATTGACTTGGAAGTACTAAAAACTAGGGCTTAAATGTTAAACTAATCGATCCTTACTACCTAATGTCTTGTACGAGGCCGGTACGAGGCTATTGCGAGCAACCCTGTTGCAAGGTCACCCAGTCTAGCCTTATGAGTAGTACTTGGTATATGATCCCCGTGCATTTGATGGGCGGGCCCAATTAAGGCTCAGTCGCTTGGAAAGCGGGTAGAAAGTCAGGAGAGAGAGGGGGAGGATTCAGAAGAACGTCTCTTGAGTCTTGACGCGCAAAGGTTTGTCAAATATGGACCCCTGTGTTTGGCACAATAACGTTTCTTTTGAGGTTGGAAAAGCCAGGTTTCCTCACGTAGATATGGTGCAGTGTTGAGATATATTCCTTGCACTTCCCGGAGCTTTTCCTTTTGAGGTTGAGCTCGAGTTTTTGAAGGTCTTTCTCTCTTACCTTTTACTTTCTTTCAGTCCACTGAAATGGAGAGATTTCTACTTACTGCTCTCGCCCTTCTCCTAGCTGTCTTTTTCTATAATCCAGATAACTTGAACTCGTTCTGGATTGCTCGGAAGTTTCCTCTGGTCGGCAAAGAACTTGGGAACAGGAAGCAGCGTGTCAAAGCCTTTCTTTCTCCGGCCGGGTACGACCTCTTCCGTCGCGGGTATGAGCAGTTCAGGAATGGCGTATTTCGTGTGACGACCGATGAGGGTATGTCTATGTCAGTGCTGTGTTGGTACTGCTATTGTCTTCTATGGAGGGAAAGATGCTAAACATGAGACGGAACAGGCGAACTCGTTGTGCTGCCCAACTCGGCGCTGGACGAGCTCCGCAGCCTAGGGGATGACCACATCACGAGATATGAACCAATGGACATTGTACGTTTATCAAAACCCTCCTTAGCAGACCTCGCTAACCCTAGATTCCAATAGAAAACACAAGGCAATCATACCGGATTGCACGCAGCCGACGACGGTCTCGCCTTTCTCATTCGCAACGAAATCAACCGCAAACTCCCCATGGTGACAGATATGTTGCATCCTGAAGCAGTGACAGCCGTACCGTCGACCTTGGGTCGTTTGCCAGACTGGACACCGGTGATCCCAGCCAGATCGCTAATGGGCATCGTGGCCGTCGTCATTGGGCGTGTCTTGGTTGGAGCCGATTTGTGCCGTGACCGGGTTTACATTGAGCATACCAACCTCTTCTCCCGCACCCTCTTTACCTGTGCTCGCAAGCTTGTTCAACTGCCTCGATACTTTCGTTACTTGGCCCGATACTTTATGCCGGAATTCTGGCAGCTGCGCACCTCGCGCCGCCGAGTTTCGGAATTCTTACGACCGGTCATCGCGGAACGACAACGGGCACTTCGCTTAGGGTTGGATGTGCCCGAAGACAACATCACTTGGACGCTGCGGAGGCTCGGCAATGATGTGAAGGACACCGTAGACGCCATCACTCACGAACAGTTTGGCCTATCCGTCTCGGCCAACTCAGTCACCATGCTCACTGCTATCGCATGTCTGTACGAGCTTGCTGTGGAGCCCGAGGTCATTAAGGATCTGCGGCACGAGATCATCGCCGCCAGAGCCAGGCACGGCGACAAACTCAACAGCAAGGCCCTGTTTGAAATGAAGCTTCTCGACAGCGTGATGCGTGAATCGATGCGCTTGAGCCCTACCAATGCAACTCGATGGATGCGCAGGGCCAACCGGCCGGTCAAATTAAGCGACGGAACCGTCATTCCTACTGGCACTGTCTTTCGCGTGCTGGCCTCGCCTCCCCTTTTCGACGCGGATATTTACCCGGACCCGTTCAAGTTTGACGCCTACCGCTTCGTCCGGTTACGAGAAGGCAGTGTTAAAGACCCCATTGGCTACAACAACCGTGAAATGTACCAGTTCGTCAGCGCAGCAAAGGAAAACCTCCAATGGGGTCTCGATCGTCACGCTTGTCCGGGTCGTTTCTTTGCCGCAGTTGTTATCAAGCTTATTTTAGCTGAGGTGATTGAGCACTATGATATACGGATGCCTGGAGGTGCGAAGGATAAATGCCCATATGTTCTAAGAGGAGAGTTTAGAGGGGTCGACTATACTCAGCCGCTTGAATTCAGAAGCGTATTGAATTGAAAGTTCCTATCTACTGTGGAAAACGGGGTTGTATCTAGCTATGTAACCATGAAAGTTTTTGATATACAGCCCTTGAATATGGTTTTCTCTACTGGTACTCTTATTAATCGCTTTTCAGTTGGTTGAGAGTAGAGAACGTTACGTCTAAGGGGTGAGTTTATTTCATTCCAGCATGTATTCTTTCTTATCCCAGAACGTGCGTTGGGCGTTTTTGAGATGCTCCTTTGCTATTGTACTAGCGTTGATATTATTAGTATCATGATTCATCGTGATTCTAAACACCTATGTCTAGCGGCAGCTGTTAGGGACAACAATTTTACAGTAGTGTATTTTTAGTAACCCCAGAAAGCAGCTTCGAAGCGAAGAAGCTAAGATTCAATTTCTTGAAGCCAAGATTGTGGGATTTAAGAATACAGAAATTATGATGATAATTTGATGATATGGATTATAATCTAGGGACGGATTTTTGTATAGCAATTCTATATTTGAGCCGCTAATATCAGTTTTCGCAGCTGTTCTTCATGAGATAGCACTAAGACGTTTATGTTAGAGCGAATGTACAAGCGTTGTTCAAAATAGCAGTGCCTCCTCTCAATCACGATTTCTCTGGACTGGTAGAAATATTCAAGGCTCCTTACTTCGAAAAACGTATCATACTTATGAGAACTTTGAATTCTTACTTTTCCACCAACAATACTGGTTGTTGTATTAGGGGGGTTCTGTTGCCAATTTTTATAAATAGCATTTATTAGCGTCGCATGTAACTTGTATATAACTTGAGGAGGGATTTTGAATGCGCGATTTTAGTATCGGATTATCGTGGAATAAGGAGACAGATATATAGTATTGTCCACACCAAGTCTATGTTAGTTATTTTATTAGCGATTGTAAGTAGGTTGCGTAGGGGGGGTCTAAATAGCTTCAAATTTTGTATAGAATCAAACTTCATGAAACACTAACTTGTAAGATAACTTACACCCTAAGCGTAGTTATTATAAACTTACACGGTCCCCTCCAAGCTTTACAAGTCATTTGTATAGTTCTAGCATAGATATCACACTGCTTTTGTCCAACTCTTAGAATTTAAACGGGACTGCTAAATTAGTACTAAACGTCGGCAACAAAATCCCTCTATTCTCCTCGTTGGTGTAAGTTGTTTTGCGAGAGTGGATTAAGCGAGGTCTCACGATCAAGCTTACCAAGGATCATCCGTGCCATGAAGTACAAGGGTATCACAGGGGACGCAATGATTACGAAACAAACAGTCGAAACAAATTGACCCTCAATCGTAATTACTGGTACCCTTTCTCCATATTTCCAAGGGCTGTGTCTTGTTACGTTGTCGGCAGAAGAGGCGAAGCTATTATAATTGGGTTATTCCCATGATACTAAGAATACCTAAAAGAGAAGTGTAGGTATTTAAGAAGAAGTAGTAGGGTAGTTGATGATCACCTGTCATGTTGGAATGAAGTCAGTGGTTTGGCCTCAGCGAGCCGTCAGATGCGGCGAGGCGGGGATATTTTAGCTAGAGCATATGTCAAAGCTCGGAATCTAAATCTATATATAAACATACAGTTGGCCTAAACTAGTTCTTGCTACCGTAGTCTCTCTCAGGGAACCCGTATACTTGGAAGTATATTTCGAAGAGACATCTCGAAGTACAGTGTAATATATTGAGGGATCCTCCTAGTCTGTCAGGTACCGACGTACTTCCAGTTCTTCCAACATCTCCCCTCCAAAGTGACGAGACTGGTGGATGTGAGACCTGGAAGACCCCTGCCCAGGATTGCGACGCCCACTTTCGCATGGCAGTGACACCGATTTGTGTGGGCTTTGACCAACCGTTTTCTTACCTCCGCCCGGTACTCCAGTACTCGTATTGCTCGTGCATCCGCAGTCAAGTTCAGCCCCGTTCGTCGCATCTGCCTGTCAGTACAGCCCGTACAGCCACCCCAAACTCTCTTTCTTCGATCCTCCACTCCCACTCCCACTCCCACTCCCACTCCCACTCCCACTCCCCATTGTATCCCCATCGCATCTCCATCCCCATCCCCCCTCTTTGCCATTCGATTTCCTGATCATGATCCTAACATGATTTGACGATCATGCGTCTTCTCCTCCTTGCCTCCCTCCTCTCTGCGGCAAGCACCATCTGCAACGCTCAATACCCACCCGATGCCTCGTCCACCTTGACCACCATCCGCTCTCCCGTCGACGGCAACATCACCATCTCCTACAAAACACCTCCAATTGGCACATGCCAGACGGCTTTTCCCAAGCAGCAGCAGTACACGGGATGGGTACATATTCCAGGCGCATACGCGACCAATACCTTCTTCTGGTTCATCGGTGGTCGTGACCCCACCGAGAAGCTCACCATATGGCTGAATGGCGGGCCAGGGTCGAGCTCCATGATCGGTCTGTTCAATGAGAATGGTCCTTGCGAGGTGGTTCAGTCGGCTCAGGGCAAGTTTGCGACCAAGGCGAGAGATTGGGGCTGGGATCGAGGCTCGAATATCCTCTATATTGATCAGGTACGTTCGCTTGCGACTTGGTCATGTTTTGGTTGCGCAAATATCAACTGTACTTGGAGGTCATGTCATCGCGCAACGACCGGCGCAGCACAGCGCATTGTATTTCCACTACTATGGATAGAAACCAGCTAACAATGACATTGACAGCCAAATCAAGTCGGCTTTTCTTACGACACGCCTACGAATGGCTCCTTGGATCTGATGACGTCGAAGCTATACACTCCTTCTCAAGTCCTTCCAAACTCGCAACCAGCCTCCACATTCATGAATGGCACATTCAGTTCTCTCAACCGGAACAACACCTCCAACACAACCGAGTTGGCGGGTATGGCAATTTGGCATATGCTTCAAGGATTTCTGGGTGCCTTTCCCCAATACATGCCGAATAGCACATCCGTTGGGGTACATTTGTTCGCAGAGAGTTACGGAGGGAAATACGGTCCAGCATTTGCGACCCTTTGGACGGAACAAAATCGAAAGAGACTCAATGGATCTCTGTCGTTGAACGGCACGATTGATATCAAACTTGCGTCGCTGGGAATCGTCAACGGGTGTGTCGATGATCTGATACAAGCTCCCTATTACCCGGCTTTTGCTGTTAACAACACTTTTGGCGTCACGGCCATCAATCCTACCCGAGCTGAATTAGCTTCCGCAAGTTTTTCATCGAGAGGCGGATGTCGCGATCAGATCAACAATTGTAGAGCTGCGGTCTTGGCCCAAGATCCTGATAATAACGGAGACGTGGAGATTGTGAACAAGTTATGCTCTGCTGCTTACAGTAGTTGTACTGTGAATGTCATGGAGCCATACATGGACGCTGGGCGCAGTGTCTACGATATATCTCACCTCCTTCCGGACTCATTTCCGTCCAGCACGTATCTGGATTATTTGAATACCCCCGAGTTTCTCGCTGCCATTGGATCACCGGTCAATTACACGGAAACGAACTACCAAGTCGTTGATGCTTTCACGTCTACAGGAGACTATGAGCGAGAGTCATTGGTCCCCAGTCTGTCTGCACTGCTCCGCCAAGGCATCCGCGTTGGTCTTATGTATGGGGATCTGGATTATATTTGCAATTGGATGGGCGGGGAAGCCATTTCTCTAGCTGTCGCCGCACAAACTTCTGCGTCATACGCCTCTCGTTTTCCAGCTGCTGGATACGCACCTATTATAACAAACGCGACATACATTGGTGGGGTTGTTCGACAATACGGAAACCTGTCATTCAGTCGCATCTACGATGCTGGTCATACCATCCCATCTTCCCAGCCAGAAACGGCATTTGAAGTCTTCGCCCGAATCATCACGGGTACTTCGGTTTCAACCGGGGAAATCATCAATCCATCTGTTTTCAACACTACGGGTCCTTTAAACACAACCGTCACTGCAAGTTTACCACCATCACCTGCGGCGACTTGTTTCCTTCGGAATATCGGACAGACTTGTAACGAAAATCAGAGAAACATGATATTAGGCGGAAAGGGTGCTATTATCAATGGCGTTTTGTACAGTGATTCAGCAGACTGGAGCTCAGCAATTTCCTCAGCATCGGCCTCGAATCCCTCTACGGCCACTGTGTCGGTCACAACGACTCAAGTTTTGACTGGACAATTCACGGCGACGGCCACACCAAGTCCGACGAAGAAGTCGTCGGGTATTCCTTCTTTGTCTTTACAAAATTCGGCCATTGGGTATTATGTCTTGGGAGTTTTGGCGTACTCGTTTTGGTGAAGTAATGAAGGGTACATGCATTTAAAAAAGGGAGAAGAACGTTGAAACCCTGTATATCGAAGGGGCATAATGCGATGGACATACGCCTTTGTGTGATTATTAAAAAAAGCAAGTTGCTTTAAAATACCATTACGGAAGAACAGAACACATAATCAAAGAATGGAAAGTCGTCGGGATATCCAGCCTGGATTTCTGGCGAGTAAGAGCATTGATGGCGCTACTGAGGGTTTTGCTATCAGGGACAAGAGGAAAAAGACATGAGTAATTGTTAGATCATGTTGGGATGGTAATGCAACGAGTAAAGTAATATGCTGGGGGCTTCAGGAATTTGGTTGTTGTTTTTTCTTGCATTATACCCATTGATGCTTTTCTTTTTTTTGGCTGGCAGAATTAGAACGAGCAAGCTTTTTTTCTTTCATGCATGAGAAAAATAGGTGGTTAGTTGTCTCTTTGTAATGAAATATGTATATATAAAAGGGATTCTTTGAACTTCCGGGTTTTTTTGTAGAAGGAATGTGTTGTTGTAGAGAAATAATACATTACCGTGGGAAGTTGGCGAGAAATTGGGGTCGTTGAAACTATGTCACGTGTGGGTGTTTCAGGCGCTCGGTAGTCCTCATCTGAGTGGGATTAAGACACTAGGATCTTGGTGCATAGTTGTTTGGACGGTGGTTTGAACTTTGAATACATAATTCTATTTCATTCTGGTTTTGCTCGTATAGTAAATCATTTGTTAAATGGATGGGTTAAGTTGTTATTCGACTTTGATTAGTACTAATGTTAATTTACACTCCTACGCTAAACTTCTACGGAGTGGTAAGTATAGGTAACCAAGCGTTGTAAAGACTGTTGGCGGGAGGAGGAAAAGTGGGGGGTTCTTGGTCGAGGGTGACTATACCATGAAGTTGAAGCTTGGATAGAGTAAGAGAGAGAGAGATATTGGCGATGGCATTGAATTATTCTTCGTCCTGTCGAGCATTACATTACAGTGTATGTCCTGGTTTTTGGAGTTCTAACTCTGGTTAAGGATTCTCGGTTTTCTTTAACGCGTACAATTACCTAAAATAGAATTAATATTGGGTTCTAGACTAAACTCTAGTGTTCTCTCTATGCTTCTACGATATTTATTGCTATTATGGATTTGGACTAGGATTTATAGTACCAAGGCGCTGGGAGATCCTCGCTTAGTACCGTAGCTTATAGCCAACCACCCAAGTAGAATCATTCATTTAAATCAAAACATTATATATTCAAGCTTTCAAACTACTTACGAGTATTACTCTTATTCTCATAAAAATATTTGTAACTAGAATAATATGAGAGATAATAGATAGGGAGAGTGATTCATAATATCTATTACTACGCAACCTAGTTCCGAGGCTCGAGAATTCGCTTAATCTACGACAAGGTACCCGTGACTAAGGGTTCTAAGCGAGAAAGTTAAAAATTCGACTTTCTTTTTTGGACAGGGAGCTCGAGAGGGGGGGGGATTACTAAAAGAGGTAGGCGGAATAAAATTATTTATAGCTAACGCTATAGGACTATAAATACTATAATATAAACTAAAGGTATATTTAAATAGGTATTCTTAGTATTCTTAGAGAGTTTAAAGATTTTTTCAAAATTTTATATCTTCGAAGTTCTCGGGATTATGGAATACCTGATTTAGGTACGTGGGCAATACCTGATTTAGGTACGTGGGCAATACCTAAAGTAAATTTAGGTAAACTTTGATCCCTGATCTAGTATCCCCGCGCTCCCACTGGGAATGAGTTCCAGGTCTGGCCATCCGACCGTGGTTGAAAGCCATGCGGGGGTAACCGTGGATTTTGGTTGACTGGATGCGAATAATTATTTAATAATCCAGGTTTAATATAAAGAGGATTTTCTCATCATCTTTCTGTTCCGCGATATCCTACGTTCCCAACTTCAGCGATCCTCTACCCCTCCACACCACTCTGTCTGTTTTTGTGAAGTATTTCATTATAATGCATCGGGGTTGGAAACTTTCGAGTCTTCTTCTTTTAGGTGCCCTATCAACAGCTTTTAGTAGGGCACTTCCCGACTCTGAAATTGCGATACTTGAAGAGAATCACGCTCCACCTCCGCCTTTACCAATTCGAATCCGAAGCACTCGGCACAAAAAGAAATTTCGATCCTGCACCACAGGCGATATCAACAGCAGATCTATCACGCGCAGAGGCCAATGTTCCTGTAAGGGAGGTCGGTTAGACGACGACGACGACGAAGGAGCACACTGCAAATCCGATCCTGGCCCAACATTCGAAGTCGAAGTCTGCGAAGTCGCTACCGACCGCGATACCTGTGCCATCGAGGTTGTACCCGCTTGGGCCCAAGGGGAACCAGCGGTGCCTAGAAAACCCGAGTTCTTAGCCGAGCGTGGAAAGAAAGGCCTTGATCTTGTTGCTAATCCAAAGCAAGGCCCTGATTTCCTGGATCGCATGAAGGTAAACTACAAGATTACGAACTTGTCCAGCGAGGAGTGGGAGATAGAGAACGGCGGAGGAAATAATGGCGTAGGAAAAGGTGTTCCGTCACTAAGTTTCTTTAAAGAGTATGGATTTCAGAGAAAGGATGGTTGGCAGGGTGTATGGGTCCACTCAACTGGCGGTTTAATCGACGATGTCGCGTCAATAAGCATCGGAAAAGCACCTAAAAAGAAAGACGGCAAGGAGTATGTGGCTATCATTGCCCATAATCGCGACTCGGTCAGAGATGCTAATCGCTTTGTAATTGAGAGCGACGGTAGCAACAAATTCGACGCTAACAACAAATATGTTCCTCTTCCACCGGAAGAAGTCGCTACCAAGGCTGTCCCAGTAGCTCAACTTGTTTATCAAGCTGCTAAACAGAATGGAATGCTCAATGGCAAGCCTGAAAAGTACTTTTTGGTCAGTGATGCGATAACGAATACAGAGACTCGGAGAGATATCAAAACAGTGGAAAAAAGGATGAAAACAAAGTGGTCTGAGGAAACCGTTTTACACCCCAACGCCCCTGGTATCGAAGGAGAAATGTACAATCTTATAGCTGGCAACGACAACAGCTATTCGTGGCTTAATACTATCGGTCGTAATCCTGCAACCTTTGGAGATTATAAGATCGATACTATTATAACTCGAAGCGACCCTCATATGATAACTATCGAACTAGTTAAGAAAGAAGTAGGTGGCGGATAGATTTTATCCCTTACTCCGTAACTGATACATACCGGTAGTAAATGGTAGCTTGGTATTAACGTTAGGCCTTCACAGCTGAATTTCTAGCTTATATACCTAAATTTACGTTGTATTGTAGAAACACCTTTAACAACAGCTAGAATACGTGATTTTGATAATTTAATATATAAAATATCGTAACCTAGGTCAAAAGTACGTCTACGATTAATAAATATATAACTTTTCCTGTGAGAGGCCAGACCTCGAATAGCTCAAAGGCGTGGTTTCGAATATTCAATTAAGAAGTGCGTGAAGACTACATACATGCGAGCTCTTCCTCTCTATATATATATATAGAGAGGAAGAGCTTCCTGAATATTCCAAGAAACTTGCAAGAAACTTGAATGACGAATACATGATGTCAGAAGAACAAAACAAGAATTGTGAGAGGCCAGACCTCGAATAGCTCAAAGGCGTGGTTTCGAATATTCAATTAAGAAGTGCGTGAAGACTACATACATGCGAGCTCTTCCTCTCTATATATATATATAGAGAGGAAGAGCTTCCTGAATATTCCAAGAAACTTGCAAGAAACTTGAATGACGAATACATGATGTCAGAAGAACAAAACAAGAAAGTGTGGAAAAGTAGAAACCTGTTTGGCAGTGGGGTAATGGCCAGTGCTAAGCAGGGACTTTGGTCAGTGCTCAACGAGGACTTTGGTCAGTGCTTAGCGAGGGCATGGCCCGAGCCTCCATCATGGGTTCCAACCCTCACATTTCCTATACTTTTAACCCCTTTACTAAAGTATAAGTATAACTACTTTTTCTACTATAACTCTTACTATATCTATACCTACTTCTTCTACTTTAATCTACCTTTAACTCTTTTTTCTAAGATACCTCTACTTAGATTGTGACAGACGTGCTTCAGGTAGAACTCAGAACAATTAACACTCTATTCTTAGGACAAAAGACGAGGAAAGAAGGAGAGCTCTAGTGAGCTGGGAACTAAATACAGGTCGTGCGCGCTAGCGCCTCGCTAAGCGAGCATGTGACATCCAGCCCTCGTGACCATAACCGTCACAATAGAAGTATATATAGGACAGGTAGCGGTAATTTTAGATGTATATTGTATATGTGCTTTAAATACGTCAATATGGAGGAATTGTAGTGACAAGTTTTTATTATAGAGAGAGGGAGGATTGACAGATATTTGATTGGGAGTGTAAAGTTTGTCTAAGCATAAACGGAAGCGCACGAGTTCATACAAACCGGGAAGATGAAAAAGAACCACGGTCTACATGAAGTTTCCACTATAAAGTATCTACCAGAGACATCCATCCACTAAACTCATTCCAAGTCAACCTTTCCTAACTGTCGTTAAGATACCATCATCTCCGCTTCTCAACATCAAGGAACAACATACCTCGCCCTCCCCCTCCCTCCATCCCCCTTCAACGCCCTTAGCTCCACGCCCAAATGCTCCAGCTCCTTCTTCTTCCGACGCTGCAAGACAGCACAGTAGATCAAAGCAGCGAGGAGCAGGACAATGAGTAAGATCATTCCAACGAAGGTGCCAATAGCCGCAGCTTTCGGGATGCCTAGGAAGGTTTCGGATACGGGGGTGGTGGTGCTTGGTTCGTTGTCTCGGGATGAGAGGATGGCAGAGGGTGTTGAGGTAATCGAGGTAGTGCGAGTTGCTGGATGTTGGGTTATTGTGGTGAGAATGGGTGAGGATGGGGTGGGCGTAGGAGAGGATACTGAGGAACAGTTCTTGGTGTGATGCATTGTGTGATGCATTGTGTGGTGCATAGTCACTGTTTTGGTAGCTAGACCAACCACACTACTAGATACTCCACCGTCTTCTTCTCCTTCGTGACGAACAACATTTTCTGAGGTGGGCACGGAGAATGAATCTCGCCCCTCGGGTCGTAGTTGCAAGTTACTTGCTGTAGCAGCAGCCGCAAAAACAAACAGAGTATAAGTAAATTGCATGTTGTCTTTAGATATCCTGAAAGAGATAGTTGTAGCGAGAAAAAGATATCCGGCCTGATTGCTAACTGCTGTTATAGTGACATGTTGAACCTGTTTCACATGAAAATACTGCTATATATTGACTAACAGGTAATTAGTCTTCTGTTTAGTAAAACCTGCTGGTTACAATCCCACTGTATGCTTCCAAAGATCACCAGATGTCTTTGACCCTAACAAAGAAAGCTGTAAGATGACTAGTAAAGACAAAGGAAATGGGGTATCTTTGTTAAGACATATCTCCCCCGGTCATTTCCCTATCATCTAGAACTTGGGAATGAAAACAGGCGTATTTTTCTTCCATTCCTGGTAGTCCTTGTGATCACCGTACTTTTTGTCGTACTTCTTCTCGCTAAGTGGAATCCCCGAGACCTTGAAAAGCAGAAAAGTGACAAATGCCGGGCTTACTGCACACATTCCAAGACCAAGGACTCTCCCATACCAAGTGGTAGACAGCCCCATCCCTGAGCAAAATCAGCACTGCCATTCATCAAGAGAAACTGGGAAGGGGAAGCAGCAATGGAATCCAAGCCAGTTCAAGATATATCTGGGGAAAAGGGTAGAGGTTCTCGATACGTACCTCTTTGGCCAGTAGTTGTTAGCAAAACGCCAGCTGCAGTTGTTGCAATACCCGTCCAAAGTGTACTCTCTCCAAAGTAATTTGGATGCCGGGATTTGCTCCACAGGCCATGTGTTAAGAAGTCTTCATCATGCTCCTTGTTTTTCTTTGCCTCGACCCACGCACTTTTTTGCCTATCGGCAGCAATCTCGAAGCCCAAGCCACCAACATAAATAGTAATTCCAATGATATCTGTCAGTCCCAGAATTGGAAGTGCTGCAAGAGTTGTGCGTGGAATTGAATTCAAGGCCAAGACGGGCATCATACAAAGTGTTACCCATGTTGCTGATGAAGGTCAACTGACATGCCAATTTTCAAACACATGTAAGCGTGAGCGGTGGAGACTAACCTTGAGCCATCCAGGCTGCAAAGAAACGAGGTGGTGACTTCTTGATCTCGTCAAATCTTCATTGACGGTTAGCGAGCACATTTCAAGATGAAGGGCGATGCTACCTAGAATCATGACCGTCTTTCAGGACTCGTTGAAACAGATAGCTGCCCACTTGTCCTCGGTTAGTTTGCTGGAAAACGATGAAGGGGTTCTTCAGTGCTCACGTCTTGTTGCCCACTGTGCATGTATTCCAGTCAGCCATCATAATCATTCGCTAAGGGGGGACCCTAGGAGAAATCCTATGATTCTACTTACAATCGTGACGGCCGTACTTAAAACGACCTGTCTCCAGTTGAGTCCATTGGCACCTCCCTTGCCGGTGAAAGCGTCGAGCAGACTTGGCCAGGCTGGTTTGAGAGAGCCGACCGCCGTAGCAGCAGCACGTGCTCGGATGGCAGGAAGATAGAGACTCAGCGCGGTGACGGAAAGGTAAGTGAGAGACCCCGAAACATCATAAAAGCGCTCCGACTGAGCTAGGATGGAGGGGATGGCAAAGGCAGCTTGAATGGCAAAGGCCGCACCGACCGAAGGGACCAATGTTTTGAGGAAGGGATTGCGGAAGTCGGTCAAGTGGAGAAGCGTGCTGGAGAGAGTCATTGTTTTTATAATTCTTGGGGTTGGGGCTCAATGTAGGTCGCTACGATGAAGTTATAAGTGTTGTCGTTGAAATCCATTCAGGTTCACAGATACCTGTCTATGTATGTAGGTAGATTACCGTACCCGTAGGACGTAGGAAATACCGTAAGTTGCAGGGGAGGCGTGAGTCAGTGACGACATGACTTTCGGCCATATAAAAATCCGGGCCATTGTCTGCGAGGACGCCACATGGAGAGAACATCACACATTCACTAATACCCTAGGTACTCGTACTGAGTACTCATTCTTTTGGGCCCTAGGAAGGGTTGAGTTGGGGGTAGGTTAATAGGGGTTAGGGTATAGGGGGTATGGGGTAGGGCAAGAGGCCAAGCGAGCAGCAGATGTGGATATGCAATAGGAGTTGCCTTGGAGAATGATCGCTTGCTATCCACCGCCTGCTCGAGATCAACTACTGATGCTCACTATCAATTCAGTATTGTCACTCAGTACCAATACCAATACCAATACCGGTACCATACCAGTATTAGTACCTGCGTTGCATGCTTCACCGGCTTTCAGGCCGTACCCGTAGCCGTGGCAGAATCATTGTCCGTCCTCACATGCCCAGCGGTTGCGACGCTCAAAATATCCTGTACCAAGCCCTCACCCTCGACCAGTACCACTTGGATACCGGCTGCTTCCAGTCTCCCACGCCCCGTGTTCTCTCGCACAAATGTATCTGGTTCCAGCACGCCAACATACACTGTCTTGATGCCCTTTCCATCTTCTCTTCCCTTTCCCAAACCCAGGATCCGCTCCACGCAGGGAACATTTCCCACGGATCGCTGCGAGCATGGCTCCATGGTCGTGTACAGCACCGCCTTCTCTGGCAACACCGCACCCACCTCCTCCTCGGACACGTTGTGTTCTCTCGCCAGCTTGATGAAGCAGGACTGCTCGGCATGCGTATTCCCTTCGCATTCGAGTGTGTAGCCCGTGGCCAGGACCGTATTGATGGTGGCATCGACGACCAGCGCGCCCACTCGATAGTTGGTGGGTTTGGGTGTAGACTTCTGGGCCAGTTCCAGCGCTTGTCGCATATACTCGACGGGTGAGGGTGAGGGTGATGTGATGGTAGGCATTGGCCTTAAGGGAGTATGGTGAGCCTTCATGTTGAAGCGGTGGTGGTAAGAGGTGATGGTCTGGTCGAGATTCGCTGGTGCAGGTGAATGCTCGGTTCTCGACCTGACGAGCCCCTTCACCCCTCAGCCCCCTACGTCACCAGCTCTACCCCTGATGACTCCTGTGATACGAGCGAGGCCATGCCGCCACGCGCCTTTACGGCAATCCAGCTCAACATGCCATAAACAACATCGCCATGTCTGCCACCACCACCACCCCCAACACTTCTCTGCGCCTTGTACTCTTTTTGGATTTGGTTACCCCTCCCATATTCTTGCCTACCCCTAAATTTTACCCCCGCTACTGTACTCCACTGAGTCCACTCGGGTCGGCTAGACGCTTCATCCCTTTCGTCAGCGATCACCGCCTCTCCTCAACCCCTCGATCCCCGGCACCAACGGGATACGGATCGGCCTAGACGCTCCAGCACTTCGCAGAACTTCTTGGGCGCATGGCCATTGTGTGGCCATGTCTGAAATCGTTCTGCCAAAGATCCAGGTAATCGATACGCATAATGCAGATGGTTCTACCCCGGACAACTCGCACCCGGCAATCGATTCTCCTTCGAACACTACCGATGGCGGGCAGTCAGGAAGGCCGAAATCTTCCACATCCTCTGAAGGTATATATTCCCAAGTCTACGCGCCGGCATATACCTTGATCTCAACGTATCATTGCGTTGAGTGCTATCGCCGGCTTCGGGTCTCGTATCTCGTACAAAATTCAAGTTGACTGACTTCTTCCTCATAGGCAACTTACAAATAAATAAAACGAAATCGCCCATCAAGTTAATGCGAAATGTTTCCGGCAAGGATGCCACTGCTGCGAAGATTACTCCCTCGACAGCAACTCGAACTGCCACGGCTATCGATCCTCTCTCACATGTGCGTCCCCATTCTAACATCCACGCACCACGAACGTTCAGTCCGCTGATATCAGTGACATAGTATATACTAAAGCGAACCAACACCGGTAATACTTTACCTCTGAAGCTGCGAACAAATAGCGGAGGCCTGGACAACGGCAATAACGATGTCAAAGGTCCTGCAAGTCCGGAACTTGGACCTCCAGGGAGGCAAGGGACGCCGGAAATGCTTCGCAGCGATAGCAATCTAGCGAAGGAGAAGAAGTGAGTCGTTCCAAGCTCGAAAGTTTGCGTGCCGAAATATGTAGAGTCGGAAAGCATCTCATTTACACCTATCGTCATAACACAAGCTGTTGTTACTGACAATGTGACGGCAATAGGAAAGGCGGCTCGTTTCTCAGTCGTTTCAGCATCATCGGTGGCAAGAAGAAGGACTCGATTGCCGACAATGATGATGATGAATCTGAGCAAGGAGACCAACGACCAGAAGGCATGAATGCCCACGTCTTCTCCTCTTCCATCGGCGCAAATGGATATATACCACAGCACAAAGAACCACCGAGATACATCAAAGTCCGAGCAAGCAATAAACGGGTCAGAGAGTTCAATCGCATGTTTCTTGCTCAAGAGTTGGGTGGGCTAGCCGAGAAAGATTCCGCTTCCAGTACGACAGGCGCGTCCATTTCTTCCAAGACAGCGGTAACATCCAAGGCAAGCGGATCAATATGGGCTACGGAATTTAGTAAGGATGGGAAATATTTGGCTGCAGCCGGTCGCGATCAGGTGGTGAGAATTTGGGCTGTGATTTCTACTGCCGAGGAAAGACAAGCGCACGAACATGAAGAAGATGTCTCCTCTAGGACTTTGGGGGGGGAACGCCTCAGCGCCCCGGTGTTCAGGTCAAAACCGACACGGGAATTCAAAGGCCACTCGGGAGAAATTTTAGATTTGAGTTGGAGCAAAAACAACTTTTTATTATCATCCTCAATGGACAAGGAAGTGCGTTTATGGCACATCAGTAGGCAAGAATGTCTCTGCACCTTCAAACACAAAGACTTTGTCACTTCGATTGCATTCCACCCCACCGACGATAGATTCTTTTTAGCTGGATCCCTTGATTGCGTTTTGAGGTTGTGGTCTATCCCTGACAAGAGTGTTGCCTTTTGGAACCAATTGCCGGACCTGATCACGGCGGTAGCATTTTCCCCAGATGGGAAAACCGCGATGGCAGGTGTACTTAGTGGACTTTGTTTATTTTACGAGACGGAGGGTTTAAAATATCAAGCTCAAATACACGTTCGATCCTCCAGGGGAAAGAATGCCAAAGGTAGCAAAATAACAGGAATTCGGACCATAACATACCCACCCGAAGACCCAGAAGGCGACGTCAAAGTTTTGATCACTAGTAATGATTCGCGAGTTCGTATGTACAATCTCCGAGACAAGAGTTTGGAGATGAAATTTCGGGGTCATGAGAATACATGCAGTCAGATCAATGCCAGCTTTAGCGAAGATGCTCAGTATGTAATTTGTGGAAGCGAGGACCGGAAAGCGTATATCTGGAACACTGGCCCGATTGAGTCGGAAAACAAGGACAAACGTCCTTTGGAGATATTCGCGGCTCATCCCGATATGGTGACTGCGGCTGTCATGGCTCCCATCAAATCAAGACAACTACTAAGTGCATCTGGCGATCCAATATACGATCTTTGCAATCCGCCGCCGGTGACCCTGCTCAGTAGAGAAGAGTCTAATGCATCGACAATGCCACCAGCCGACGCCGAAAAACGCCATTCAGATCCTGTGAGCGAATCGCAATTCAAAAAACCAGAGGAGTCGCCTGCTTACATTGCACGATGTACGCATCCTGATGGTAACATCATCATCACTGCGGACTATCTTGGTGGCATCAAAGTCTTCCGGCAAGATTGGTATGCAATACTTCTCACCATTTTTGTTTGCGCACACTAATTATGAGCAGTGCTTTCCACAAACGAATGCAGAATAATTGGGAAACAGGTTCCATATTTTCCAAGAAAATGTTAGGTCGAAGCAACTCTATAATGACGAGGAACTCGGGCGGATCTCATTCAAGACGAACTTCGGTCTCGCAAGGGTCACTCGGCGGGTCGTATAGCGATCATATACTATCCTGGCGTAATCATGTACTGGACTTAGATACTAGTAGTCTAAGAAATGGCAGTTTCAAGACGTACAGGAGTGACGATCGAAGCGCATCTCCCGGCAAGGTCAACAGACACTCATACCAGTCTTTTTCAACAACCAATTCTCAAAACAATATGGCGAGCGCAGCCCGTCAACAGCCATATATGGGGACACCACTTTACACCACCTCGAGTGTGTCCACAATTAGTCCTCCTCCTAGTGTTCATCGAGCATCGACCTTCGCCGCCAGTCAACCCCCAGCACCCAGTTTCACTTTCCAGAGCGCCATTGATGAGAATCCAATGCGTATCGATTCCTCCGGCAAGAGTTATCAATTTTGGAATCCAAGTTCATGGAGGAACGATGCCAGAACTTCTGTTCAGGGAGCCTACGACTCGAGCAAGCTGGATGTTGACACTGCTGGGTCGCGGGGTAAGGAAAGGCAAGGTAGTATAGTCAGTAAATTGAGCAGTGATGGAACATCCGGTCGCGGTGAAGAGAGTGATGGCGAAGCTATGTCTTGCAAGAAGTGTCAAAGGTATGTCTTTCCGCTTTCTTTATTACAACCTCAAGTTTTCAACCGCAGTATCCGAACTGACATTTTTTCTACAGCAAGGATTTCCGAGCCAAGAAGGTCATTGGCCGAGGGCAGCGTCTCGTTTGTACGAGGTGTGGCACCTCGGCAGAGTAGGCTTCATTCTTATCTCGGACATTGGATCCTTATATTCTTGTATATTCCATATTCCATTCGAACGGCCACTTCTTGGTCTAGACGAGGAGCTCTTCCTCCCCTTTGGATTAAGCACTGTTCTACATGGTAATGCTTAGGTACATATGAAGTTGTATATGAAAAATTATTCAAACAGGTTGTTAGATGGAATGCCCATGTTCGCATGTACAGCATGTTTCGATGTTTTTGGTGTCTTTGGTGTGTACATACCTTGATACGGCGCTACTGATATACAGTCTGGCGTTGTATTTTCGTGTCGTGCTCCACGGTGTAATTATTTGGTGTAAATAAGTACCGCGTTATATTATAATTTTATTATACGGACATGTAATGATAATTATTTCTGGGTTTTTTCTTCAAGCCAGTATAGGGAATAAGTTCAGTGCGTAGTACACTGTACTGTACTAAATATACTACGTAGTATACTATAGGCTATTTATTATAGTTTTAAAAGTAATTGTTGGTACGACCTGGTTCTCGTAAAGGGTGATACACAAACATAATCTCTCTTTGTATTCATTCGTGTATGAAGAGTAAAGGTAAAGAGAGGTGGTACTCTACAGACTTAAGTATGTGAGTATCAAGCCACTCACATGACCTAAAGTATATAGGTCTACCAGGCTCTCGTACAAGGTGCTATTCACCAGAATTATATACCGACAGTAATATATAAACTAGCTAGTTAGTATAGTTTACAGGTCTAAAACTACTAGTTTACACTATACTACACTAAGTATATATATTAATTAAAATTCCTATATATATACTTCTTTTGGGTAGGTTTTAGGTAGGGTTTAGGGTAGGTAGTCTAAATATCGGAAATTTTAATTATTAGCCTAGCTATTTTAAGTTAAATTTTACAATTCCTTATAATCTAATTAGCCTTTAGCCTACCGCCTTGTAACGAATACTCAAACTGGCTAACTAAACTTGGCTGGGTGTTCGCTGGTTGGTATGCTATGATAAGAAGAAGACTATCGGGTTGTTCACTTGGAAGTGAACTCGTTACTTGTATCAAAGATGTCAAACTAATATGATAAGATTGATAACTAAGTTGAGCACGAAGCTCCTATCTAATGGCAGACGTGCCAGTCTTATATAGAACTTCCGTTCTTTTGTTCCAACAGTTGGATCGCTAGAGTCGCTCGTCTACCGAGTCGACCCAGGCGACTGGAGCGCTCGTCGCTCCAGGCGACCCAACTGTCACGTGATTATAACCAAAGGAAATCCCTGGATCGCTTAGCTAGCCTAGCCGATCCCTATTTGCTATAAGTCTACGGATGTGCTTGACCTGTCAGGGCGCCGCCTGGTCTTCACTCTTCACGTGTTAACACGTGATTCGTGACAGCGGCGCCCTGACAGGTTGAGCACTATCATGGCTCTTATAGCAAATAGGGATCGACTAGGCTAGTTAGACGATCCAAGGAATTCCTTTAGTTATTGTCACGTGATCAATTAGCATCAGAGGTGATCGGCCTGACGACCTCTAAGGAGTCAGAAAGGATCAGAGCGACGGGCACTGATCCAGGAGAACGAAAGTCCTATATAAGACTGGCACGTCTGCCATTAGATAGGAGCTTCGTGCTCAACTTAGTTTAGCAATCTAGTTATTAAGTTATTACTTCTTTGTTAACAAGTGACGAGTTTACCTCCGAGTAAACAACCCGGCGCATCTGTACTTCTTACCCGCATACCAACCGTCGAAACGATTACCTTTGTCAGATAGTTTGAGTTTCGTCACACTTATAACTTTATAACCGACTATATTAAATTATATAAAAGTAAGATTTTTATATTTATAGAAAATAATATAATAAGGTAATTAGATTAGCGGGGTTATTTAGGATTATAAATATAATCCTAAGAATAATCTAATCTAAATATACCCTCCTTTATATGGAAAGAAAGAAGAAGAAGAAAAAAACGTTTAGGTATAGGGTAAGTTACTACTATATAGCTTCTTATAGTAAGGATACGTTAGTACGTTAGTATAAAGAGTAATCAATAATAAAACAATATAATATCTTAAAGTACCTCTACCTAAATCTCTTTCTCTCTCTCTCTCTCTCTATATATATACGTAATCTTACCTAACCTAACCTCGAATATCCTTCCTCTATTCTCCCTCTATTCTCTTATTTACTATACCTTGTAATATTTCTTTCCCCTATATCTATCTGCCTACCTTACTTATCTTATTTTACCTTATATTCTACCTTACTTTTTACTATACCTTACCTTATACTATACTAGAATAGAAGTCACGAGTAATCTTATCTAGTAATAAGAATATATGAATTTTGAAAATAGATGTATATAGTTACTACCTATATTATATTTTATTATATTATATCGTATTATATAAAGTTCGTTATATAGTAGAAAGGTAGATACTAACTTCCCTACTCTAACTACCCTAGTCTAGCTACTCCTGAAATTACCGTAAGGGGAAGATACTTAATAAATACTTAATACTTGATACTTGATATATATTGTGGATCGAAGGTAAATTCAAGGCTTCTAGAAGGTTACTATATAGAGAAAAAGGTAAGTGAGGTAAGTGAGGTAAGGTAAGGTAAGTAAATCTACCGGTAGAGTTTTGCGAGAGTACTAACCGACGAACGGGCGTTGGAATATCCCGGAAGAAATACCTAGGTAGGGATGGTAGAAGGTTACTACTGTAAGGTAAGTAAGGGAATTTACTGGTAGAAGTACTTCTAAGTGACTACAGTACAGCCAGCCCCTTCGCAAAAGTAGCAAGAATATAGGTAGGGTATCTCACTAGTGTAGTGTGTTGTAGGGTATTTTTTTTTTTTGCAAGGTTATTGGTATGTGAACGAACTACTTAATTCCCATAGTTTCTATAGGTAGGGTCGCGAAACATCCTGCTACCTACTTTTGCGAAGGGGCTGTAGTGTGGGTAGGAGATTTTGAATGGTAGAAGTAGCACTGACGGACGGAGGACGGGTGTTGGAATATTCCAGAAGGAAGGAATGCGGAGGTCAATGGGTAGGGGATACTCGTATCTTACATGAACATAAGGACAAGTAAGATTTACTGGTATATAAGCCGCTGGGCTGGGTTACAGTACCAGTACCTACTCGTAGGGTAAGGTGACCACGTTGCAGTAGGTAGCAGGCAGGCCTTCTCGCCACCCGTCCACAACATCGTGGACGCCACTAGCATAGGGAGGGATAGCCACGCAAAGACTATGTTCCTAGGATATTATTTCTCGCCTGCGGTTTCAGCAATCTGAGAAGCCAAAAAAGTATGAATAGAGGATTCTGACGTTGGGCATGCGGGATGTTAATATCATGACGTTGAAGGGTTCTGCAGAAGGGGAAACCGTATCCCCTTTGCAACGGTTTCTTTCTTCGTCGAGGGATGGTCCCTTTTCTTTGACATGGGAACGGATGGAGGGAGTTCTTGCCACCATGAATGAGGTTGTTGCGAGAAACAATCCCATGGTGGGTTTGACGCGTTTTTGCCACTATTAAGTGTTGCGAGAAACAATCCCATGGTGGTTTTGATGCGTGCTGAGACTTCTGAAATCCTCATACGACGGGAATGGAAGTAGCTGGACATAACACGTGATTGCTCAACTTCTTCACCTAGCCCAGGCAGTCTTCCAATTCAGCCCCCGCTTATTCCATATTGAGCCTTTGCCTTGGACTTGGACCGATCGGAAGACTTCCGAGGACGTGAGTTTCCACCCACATCCATATCCACTCCACCTGGACTCCCAAAAACGGACGGAGAGGTTTTACCATTTTGGGAGGGAGGGCGATTCATCGCTAAGGTGGCCGTTAGTGACACTCCCCGCCAAAATGGAAAAACACGTTTTTGCAACTTTGTGCCCACGAATTATTAGATATTAATGCATTAGCGCAACAACGCTTTAGGATATCCAGTTAGTTGACTTAATAGAAACAGTCAATTAGGACTATCTGTAGATAATAAAATTATATTAGTGCGACTAACGCGCGTGGTATAGTCGGTCGATTTGTCGTCGAGCACTTACGTAGTACGGGCCACCTGCGCACCTGCGTACCCGACACGACCGCGAACTTGGTCACGTGTCTATAGATTATTTTAGATAATTATCTCTCTAAATAAAGTATATACCCTAATACTTAATAAATATATAAGTAACTTTTATAATAGTAGATTATCTATTATATGTTCTTATTAATCTAGTATAATACTCTTATCTTAATATAGATTTTTCCCTTATTCCTTAGATCTCTAAAAAAGACTCTAGAATCCTTTATATAGGTAGGAACGTAAACCTTCCTTAATCACTATATTAGGAAAGAAAAGGTAGGTTAAAGTAGGTATAATAAGTTAGTTATAGGAATACTAAAACTTAAAAACTCGTCGATTATATAAAGGTGACTTATAGTAGTACTTCTACCGGTCGGAAAGATATATAAATAAGATAGATTTATAGGGTTAATTAAGTACTATTTTATTCTCGAAAAATATATCTACTAATATATAGAAGTACTACTATATAGGTATAAAGAGCTATATATACGTATAAATAAGATTTAAGTATATATATAGCTCTTAGTATAGCTTCTCGCGTATACGAAGTAATACGAGTTCTTACCCTTACGAAGGCTATAAGAGTCTCCCTAGAGACTCTTATACTAAGATTATATTCTTATATATACATAATTAATAATATTATATTATTTTTAAAAAAATAAAATAAAAAAAAATAAAAATAAGTTTTAACTAAATATAAACTATTAATAGTAAGTAAGTATACTAGAATCTAAGACTCGGATTCTTCTCTTTTTAGTCCAATATAACTATTTTATTTACTTTTTCTATTTATTATATTATAATACTTATTATAATAAATAAATAAAAATAAATTAAATAAGTTAAAATATAATAAAATAATAAACTAAAAGCTTAGGAATTTGAAGTAGGGCTAGCTAATATAGGTATATATAGTACTATCTAATATAGTACTAATGGTACATACCTATATAAAGAGTAAATACTAGGTATTTATAATAATATTTAATAAAAGAATTAATATTACTTTTAGAAATATTAAGGAATTTCTGTTATTAGTCTACTACTATAACCTCTAGATTTAGCTAGTAGTCTTTTAATAAAAAATGGGTTTTAAGTTATCTATTTATATAGAGGGCCTACCTTATAAAACAGGCTTTACTTATATTAGAATATCTTAGACACGTAACTAGGACCCCTCGTACCTCGGGAATAAGGTTCTTCGAGAATAGGCGGGTCGAAGAGGTAGGTAAATCGACCGACTATACCATGCGCATTAGTCGCACTAATATAATTTTATTATCTACAGGTAGC